GTAAGTACAGTGGGGTGGATTAGGTGAATGACCTCATTTCAGTGTTTGTCCTGTTCTGCTCTGTGTCAGACTCTCACTTCAATACCAGAAACATGATTGTCACACTGTCACCACAGTGTTCAGAATCTGGGGCTGTGGCCAGACATTTAAAAATAGTTATGTGATTAATTTCAGATGCAGTGTGGCTGGAGGGTTAGTTGCAGATGGATGGTGTGGACAGGATTCTGAGGAGTGAGGGGTGAACCCAGGAGAGCCCGGCAGGCAGGAGAATGTTCCCACGGAAAGAAACAGTGGGAGACACTCCAGCAGGGCTGGCAGAATTGCAGTGTGAGGAAGGTAAAGCACACCCAAAACCCTAGAAAGAGAGCACAGAGGGAGCTGAGGAAGGAGGGCAGCCAGGAGGAAGTGCGGTGGGCTTCTTGGCCAGCCCTAAGAACGCTGGAGACTGCTGAGTACAGACAGGTTGCCTGCTGGGAAGCGGACAGTGCAGGGAGACAGAAAGGTGTCCAGAGAGAGCTCCAGGTCCCTGGAGCTTGGGAGGGTTCTCTAGTCTGAGCCAGGGTGAATGACAGAAGCAGCATGGGCTTGGGGATCTCTGTGCTGCCATCCTTGGCTGTCCTGCTTAACGAGCATTTCCTGGGGGATTAGAGTCCAGGAGGAACCTCGAGTGCCCTCCCCAGGGTGCAGCCTCACTAAGGTAGGGCCAGGGCTTCCTGGAATGGACGGTTTGCTCTCTGGACATGGGGAAAGGAGAAGCCTTTTCTTGTCACAAAGCAGCCACCTTTTACACTACACGAGCGGATCTCAGCTTGGCATTATTATTGCTAACGTATGTCCATAACTCAAAGCGCATTATTAGTCTGGAAGGGCAAATCTAACGTGTATTTCCTATAATTCTTTGGTTTGAGCTGATGCACTGACCACCAGGAAATGCTCATGTGTTTCCAGCTAAAGCGAGAGAGTTGTTTCACTTGTGCCCTTGACGCGGCTTTCTAAGGTATGGGCAGTAGTTTTCTTTGTGAGTCAAAAATTTCATTACAATGCATGGGTTCTTGACTCTAAAATCATTTTTATGACTTTTCCCTTAGTCCCTGTTTGCAGCCCATAATGGCCCCACCCCTCACGAGGAGTTGGTGGCTGTGCATCTCACCTTCAATTTTCTCCCCTCCTCTCTCTCTCTGCTCCCTCTGTCTCTTCCTTCCCATTTGGGAAAGATCTACCTCCCACATTGCAAAAGATCCCTGTGCCTGTCTCCTAACTTTGTATGGTTGTTACCAGGCCTGGAGTAGGTGAGGGATGGGAGGGAATGATCCAGAATGAAGTGTGCATTTTACAAACCTAGAAGAGAGAATTCTGAATGCCTTCTCCATAAAGCAATGATGTATGTTAGGTCAATGGTTTAACTTGATTTAAGCGTCATGTAGTGTATTCACTCACTGGAACATCCCAGGGTAGTCACTAATACATAAATACACACCATTTTAAGTTTTTGTGTAGCAGATCAAGTACATCTAATTTAAACTTAAAAATTAATCATAAGAAAGGGATTTTAGGTTTTCTCTAAAGCAACTCCTGATGTGTTTTAATAATTTCCTTTTCCCAGAGGCAGGAACAGAACTCTGAGTTCAGCCTCCACACTGAGCCGGCAGCAGCTCAGTCTGGGCCAGGACACCCTCATCTCACCGGAGCTGGTGAGGGAGAGGAGCAGGGAGCCAAGCTCTGGCCCAGAGCGGGGTGTGAAGGAGCCATGAGGTCCTCCTCAGTTCTGTGGGTGCAGAACACCCCATATTTAAATTGTACCTGCCTAATAGCAATGCATGCAGTATCTGCATAGAATTTACACTTTGTAAACACAACCTGCTCACAGTGCAATTCTCTTCGTCTTTTCATTCGCTTTAGAATAAAGGGAACTGGTCAACCATGCAAATCGGCTGAGCCTTGTCCAAATTCTCTTGCATGCATAAGGTGAATGTGGCCCCTTCCCTGGCATGTGCCTGCTGCAGACCTCACACTGCAGATATGTCCAGAGAAAGCTCTGGGGTCTCTCGGTGCTGTGGAGAAACTACTGCAGGGAAAGTCTGCTCTTAACTGATTTCAGGATTTTTCTGGTATTCTTTTCTCCTGTAAATAGTACCTGTTCTATGATCTCTAGCCAATAGCCCGGGGAGCACTGATTTGGGTGAGAATGCTTTTGCTTGGGGTCAGTGCTGCCACCCAGAGGTGTTTTCCTGGCTTCCCTTACCCACCTGCCCTGTTTGCCCACAGATCCAGGAGACCCCTGGGATGAAACGCCTGCCTCGGCTTCCCCGGGCCAGGTCTCTAAGCAGAGTGAACCTCCCCACACCCTGAACTGCAGAGCTGGGCTTTGGGCCATTCTCCTTGGTTGCATTTCTCCCCAGCCACTGCTGCCCCTTGTGTTTATCAGAAGCACCCCACCCCTGTCCTGTCTGTGTCATTCCACTTCCTTTCCCTCTCCAGGGCAGTGCATTCACATGCATCTACCTGGGAGGGAAGTTGACTGTCCACAGGGTGAGTGCCAAACATTTATAATTTACTCAGCTGCTCAAGTGTCCTGTGGAAAGCTCACCGCTGTCCCCTGATCGGTGGCTTCCACTGAGACTGTCATTCTGGACGGCAGAGCAGGGGAGACACGTAAAAGAGATGGCATGGATGGCACAATGTGTCCTGCAGGGCACAAATGTCCCTGGCTCCCATCTCCACAGGAACCCGGCTCTGCTTCACCAGGAGCTCTAGGTCACGGGCACCGGAGTCAGATCTGCCTCTGTTCTTGGGTGTCGCTAGCCACACAGCCTCAGTGCCCTCCTCTGTGAAGACAGGGTGGGGAGACCTCAGTCCCACGTGGAGAGGGATGGGCTTGCCTGGGTCCTGTGCTTGGGCAGTGAGCTGGTAGGTCTTGTCCTTCACAAGGTGGTCAGGACTTGGTGTCACCGGACTCCACTGTCCGACACCCACACAGGCACAGCAAAGGAGCCTCTTCCTCCTGTCTGCTTGCTGAGGACCAGGGGTCCACCCCTTGTTCCCTTTGAGACATCGACTTCCAAGGATGTGGGATCCCTTCCCCAGGTGAGTGAGGGGGTGCAGGATACCTACTCCAGATGAGTGAGGGGCCTATGACTCCGAGGTGGAACTCAGCCCTGGCTCCTCGGGTATCAGAGCTGCCCCAGGCAGTGCTGCGGCAGTGCCCACTTACGCTTCCTGTTCCTGACACCCGGTGCTGGCTGGGGATGCAGAGTGCAGTCGGGAAGCCCCCAAGGTGAGGCCCAGTGGCCAGGAGTCCGGCGACTGCACTTCATCGAGTTTGCGAACACACATGCGTGTGTGCACACGAGTATGTGTGAAACACCTCCAAACGTGTGGCCCAGACAGGGGTCCCCTTTGTGTAACTGCAGGAAGCAGCGTGTGAAAGTCAAATACTAAATGGAAAATACTGTTAAGAAACAAGTGGAAAAGATTTAAGTTTCATTTACACTAATATATGAGTAATCTTATTCACATAATGATAAATTCATATTGTTACACAAATATATTATTAGTATGTTATATTTACATATTAAAATAAGCATATTACAAATCACTAACAAATCATTAACACACAGTTTAATGACTTACTTTTAACTGTGCAGCTTTATCCATGCACCTTAAGACTCAGCCACGTGTCACCATCTCTCACCGAGGAAAGTGCCTGTGGAAGTGGGAAGCTGCACTGGGGGAAGAGGTCTGCATGGCTGGGCTCAGGGGCACCAGGCAGAAGCAGGGAAAGCTAGGAGTGAGGCCTAGGAAGACCCCGGGGATGGTGAGGCACATGCAACTTTCACCCTCAGCTTTCACTACTCCTGTGCACATGTTGCATGCAGTTTGCCACACAGGTTCATCCCCCAAGGGTGGTTAGGGCCTGGGTCATGCCCTAGTCGTGCCTCACCCTGCACTACACTGCACTGCAGCCTCACCTCAAAGACAGGACACTGATGCTCTGGAACCCAGACCCCACTGGACCTGAGCTGAGTCCTGGTGCCAAATGCCTGGCTGTGACCTGGTCCACAGAGGTGCGTCCTGGACAAAGATCACCCATGGCAGGGCCATAGTCCTGAGTCGGCTCCAGCAGCTACAAGGGAAAGTTTGAACTCATGAGCCAAGTAATTCAGGGACCAAATGGAGGACATACTTAACCAGTATCTAAAAACTGAGCAAAATTGTGCTTCAGAAACAATCTCAGAGCAAAACCTATGTCTATAAGGGTTAGCTGCCGAGAAATGGCAAGGGTTAGTTTGCTCTTCTGATAATGGATGGCTTCGCATATGCTGGGGAAAGTGGATATATTCAAGGGGGTCCCTAACCATGTTATTACAGAATTCTCCTAGTTTAATAAGTTACATGCTTGCACGCACAATTGTGCAAGGCAGGACCTCCATGTTGGTACTGTGATGCTGCATGTGTGTGTGTGAGGTCAGTGATGATCTCAGGTTATTCTTGGAGTTCAATTATGGTCAGTCAGATCCTTGGCACTGGCTGGCCTGGGAGGGAACAGAGGAGACCTGTACCTAACCACAGGGTCCTCGTTTTATTCCACATGATTTGCTGGGTCCTTTCTTCCTGTTAATTTGCTAACCTATCCATTTGCAGGCAAAAGTCTTCTCTTCTTTCACTTCTTCAGGGTCAAGCCAAGGGTCTAAACTGCCCAGGCTGCACTTGGCTTCCAGCCTTTCACACTGAAAAAATGATGATAATGAAACTGAAGGAAAGCTCTTTCTTGGTTGCTTCTGGCTTGCATTTATCTTCCAGCTTTGGGGAGGAACCCGTGGCCAGGAGTCCTGGTCGGAAGCCTGCTGGGATGCCAAGTATTGTGTACCCTGACATGCTCACTTTCATCTTTTCTCTTCACTTGTGTCTGAAGTGTTATTTCTTGAACCCAGGTCTTCGTTGTCAGACTGGTGGCCTGAAGTGCTGTGGTTTCATGAGGGTGAGACATCCTTACGGGGGTGCATGACCAGGCAAGAGCCATGTGGTGGATTAATGGCAGCGCCCTCTCTGGGTTCATTCTGATGGGGTTCTCTGAGCGGCCCCAGCTGGAACTGGTTCTCTTTGGGGTGACCTTGCTGCTGTACCTCATGACTCTGGTGGGCAACACCACCATTATCTTATTGTTCCTCTCGGACGCTAAGCTCTGCACCCCCATGTACTTCTTCCTCTCACACCTCTCCTTCCTGGACCTCTGCTTCACCAGCAGCATTATCCCCCAGCTCCTTGTCAACCTGGGGGGTGCAGACAAGTCCATCTCATATGGAGGCTGTGTGGTCCAGCTCTATGTGTCCCTTGCATTGGGCTCCACAGAGTGTGTCATCCTGGCTGTGATGTCCTATGACCGCTATGTTGCCATCTGCCGCCCTCTGCACTATGCCTCTGTCATGCACCCCCGGCTCTGTCACACCCTGGCATCCATGGCCTGGCTCAGTGGCATGGCCACCACCCTGGTGCAGTCCACGCTCACCCTGCAGCTGCCCCTCTGTGGGCACCGCCTTGTGGACCACTTCTTCTGTGAGGTCCCAGTGCTCATCAAGTTGGCCTGTGTGGACACCAGCTTCAATGAGGCTGAGCTCTTCGTGGCCAGCATCCTGTTCCTGCTGGTGCCTGTCTCCTTCATCCTGGGCTCTTACAGCTTGATCGCCCGGGCTGTGCTGGGCATCATGTCAGCCGCTGGCAGGCGCAAAGCCTTGGGCACCTGCTCATCCCACCTGCTGGTGGTGGTCATCTTCTATGGCACTATCATCTTCATGTACCTGCAGCCAGCCAGCAGCCGCTCCAAGGACCAGGGCAAATTTGTTTCCCTCTTCTATACGGTGGTGACACCCGTGCTCAATCCTCTCATCTACACCTTGAGGAACCAGGAGGTGAAGGTGGCACTGAAGAGAGCTCTCGGCACAGTTTGGGGGCGCCTTTCTGATCCTCAGGAGATCCACAGACACAGCCAGAGTAGCAACTGTTTCTCTATCAGGTGGTGGGTCCGTTGATGGGTTATCCTCAGGACACACACGAGGGTCTCAGGAGAGCAGTTGGAAGTTAGCTTGACCCGACCCTCACGATTAGACATGCTGAGAGCTGACACTGCAGCTGGACCTTGCACCACCTACAGATAGGGCTGCATGGTGTTAAACTGTATGAACTAAAAGGAAATCCTGGTTCTGTTTAAATTCATTCCATGTAATGACCTCAGCCACAGGTTGGATGCCTCCATTATGCCTGCAATTTTTGTGGAGACTGGAGTACTCAGTCAGTTGACAGGCCCAAAAGCAGGATCATCCACCTCTGCTGCCTTGCCTTGGGGAGCTGGCCCTTCCATCTCCTCTTAGATGCTTCCAGCCTTGTGTGTTCCTCTCCCCACTGTGGCTCAGGGAACGGCATTGTGCTGTGACATGGTCCCCTCGTTAAATCCGTCCATGCATGGGCGCCCCTGTGTTCAGGGTGCAGTTTGGACCTAGTTTATCCTCAGGGTGAACTGCACTGCGTCTGCCTGCCTGAGGGACAATATGAACACAGCCTCAGGGTTAACAGCACCACGGACTTACGGGCTCCTGGGCTCTGCTTCCTCCCCTCTGAGCTCTGTTTGAGGAGATGAGAATCACTTTGTCTTCTCTGGTCCCCTCTGTCGCCTGTGCCTGTCACTGGTGATGATGCTGTGCAGCACCTTTTGGCTGCTCTCCATTTTGCCCACTTCTCTGCAGTGCAGCATTTTTGTGTGGTTTTCTTGTTGTGTTTGGTGGTACTTGAGGCTGCTTTCACCCTTGGTTATATGCTCAGGACAGAGAGAGAGAGAGAGAGAGAGAGAGAGAGAGAGAGAGAGAGAGAGAGAGAGAGAGAGAGAGAGAGAGAGAGAATCTTGCTAAGTTGCTAACTGCCCAGAAGTGATGGGATCACAGACCACTCCTGCCTGGCTTCCAGCAGCCTCTCTGAAGTTCCTGTGGACTGCTGCCCTGGACTTTTTGCCTGGCAGGAGACACTGATCACAGAGTGGCCACTGTTGTTACACATTCTGTTCTTTTATTCTTTATTGACTGTGTGCAATTTCAAACACCACATGGGATTTCTCACTGAGTTAACTCATCATGGAACTTACGTGTCTTTTAAGAAGTGATAAATTTATTCAATTATAGGGGCATTAAGGGCACATATTTTAAAGAAGACCTCTAACTTCTCAGGCGTTCTGTGAGTGGTCTCCTGGTTTTTGATAGATGCTCACTGTAAATTGCCCATTATCAAAGGACAGAGATCAATGTTATGGAAAAAACTCTCACATTTAGCAAAAGATTTATAAAATTTATATCAATCAAAATGTAAGGTTAATATCTACAGGCTTTTCTTCCATTTTGGTATTTGTATTTTAAATTGATGTAGTTGTAAGTTAACATTATCTGGGCAGTGACACATCACCTTGAACAGTTTGCTAGATTATGAGTGTGTTAGTGTGTAAGCAAGGAAGACCCAGAGGTGAGTGTAAAGGAGCTGACATCTTAAAACAGGGTCAGAGCCTCCTCAAGCAGGAATGATCTGTGTCGGTAACACCAAGGGCATTTCCTCTGAGGTCACAGGGAGACCCAGGGCTTGTGTGTGTGACACAGTGGTGTGGCTTAGCCTCCCTCTGCTGACCAGCACACGAGTCTCTCTGAACTGGGAGCAAAATGGGACAAATTGATCTGCACAAAATAGGACACAAAGGAGCATGGACTCATTAGGCACGATACAGCTTAGGAAATCCTTCACGGGTGACAGCAGAAGGTTAGGTAATCCGAGGAGGTGGAGGGTTCTTATGTTTTGATAATAATAAAGCAAAGCTTAATTTTTACTCCTTTCAAAATCCAAAACTATTGAAAGCCTTTTTTTGTCCTCCTCGTGGTTCGGGAAGTTTATGTTTGCAATCCTGCAGATAGATTATTGGAATCCCAGCAACTTAACTCCAGTCCTTCACCTCCAGTGCGATGGCAAAAACACTAAGACACAGTTACAGTTACAGGGAGCCAAGGTGTCCTGAGTCCAGTCCGGATGGAGTTTTATGAAGCAAAGGCCTTGACCCAGGGCCTCACCCAGAATTTATTCATTCAGGGAGAAGGAAGCGTCTCCAGGATGAGTGACGATGGAATGGTGGGAATTACTTGAGTACTGTGAGCTGAGCTGGCTACATGGCCAGAAAGCGCCTCTGCAGCATGCAGAGAGAAAGACATGCAGAAAGGTCAGGCTGCATAACATAAATGAGGTAGCATTTAACGTTTGTGGAGGGGCAGTTGCTTCAGTTCCAATGTGCAAACCTTTTCTGCCTTGGGAAGTCTTAGCCTCTTACTTTGAGGCTGGAACCCAGGTGACAGACCTAGAGCTGTGTGAGTCCGCTGGGCTCAACCATTTAAAAGGGGACGCAGGACTGTTGCTTGGCTTCAAAGAATTCACACAAGCACCCCTGGTGCCCGACCTATTCATATTGCTTAGGGCCAACTGATGGGCAAAGGAAACAGCATCATTACATGGCAACAGGGCCCGGTTTAGCCAAGGTGGAGTAGCTGCTCTTTACTGAAGGAGAGCTGTCCCGCTGGTCCTTTACACAACTTAAATTTACCTTGCAACAGATGCATAAAAACACAAAGTTATATATATGAATGGGGTAACATGATGACTTGACAGTTTTTACTTCTTTAAACAAAAAACACAAGAATGTAAGAGTGGGCAGGAGGGGTAGGATAAAATTATTCCCTTGCACCAGTGGAAGGGTTGAGAACAGCACCCAAGCTTTGGCCTGGTCTGTCTCGTTGGGCTCCCTCAGTGTCCATTGGACCTTGGAGCTGGGCTGAGCCCAGGACTCTGTGCCAGGCTGTTGTAGGACCCCATGTTTCTGCTACATGCACCAGCATTGCAGTGCAGGGATCAATCAGGGCAAATTTAATTGGCAAGGCTGTTGGAAGCTCCATGCTCACAGCACCTTCTTGCCTACGTCCCTAGGGACAGGCAGGAATGGGGCTGTGCAGTGTTTTCCATGAAGGTTACGGGCATTTCTTGAGTTGCTTTTCTCCATGGGGAGTGACAGTAATTCCCCAGGCCTTCTGGGACATGACTATGCCATGTTAACCTGCACACGTACCTATCCCTCATGCACAGTCCTGAATGCCATGGAGGAGGCTGGAGCATCCTCATGTTTCTGCTCTGAGGGCCAGGGACCCTGGCATGGCTCACTTCCCTCTGACACCTTCCCAAGGGAGTGCATCCTGCTCCTGAGCTCCTGTGACACTCCTGCCCATGGCCAGGGGACCCCGCAACAGATGTGGGATGTGGATAGAGGTCCTCACGGCATCTTCCGGGCAGGAGTATGGAGGAAGTCAGCAACTGTGAGCACAAGTGGCTGCCAGCCAGGGATGTCACGCCCCTTATCTTCCACTTGTCCTTTCTGAGAAGCTGGCATGAACCTGGACCTTCACAGGAAAACCGTCTCACATCCACTCTAATCCAGCAACCAGAGCAGCAGAGAGGAGGAGGGCGTCCCGAAGCCAGGAAGCCCTCTCTGGCTGGACACAGCCGGGAGGCAGCAAAGACCAGGCTGGTCACGATGGCATGAAAGTGACCAGCAGGCTGGGAGGTCTGTGTACTGCATGTTAGTCCTTTCCTGGGTCTCTATTTCAAAGCCTTTTTTTCTTGTTCCTTCCTCGCTCCCAATACCAAGGTCCCCAAAGGTAGCCAAAAATGGGTTAGACTAATCATTCTTGCATTTTCTATATTTATAAAATTAAAACTAAGCCCAACCCTTCCAGTGCAAAGCTTCGCTACTGGCTGCAGGCTTCTCAAACCCCAGGCTGTGGTCCAGAGCCTGTCTAATAGGGCTGATAGGCCCTGAATTGGATCTGCAAGGCCCACTTGGGTCACTGACCAGTCAGGGACTCAGCTCCAGAGCAGATGGACAAATGCAGCCCTGGCTCCCTCTCACCAGCGGCTTGGGGTTCCCCTGCCCTGCCCAACTGCATTGACCCCTGAGGGTGAATGCTTCCCACATCTCCCATCCTTCTCCTCCTCCTTCTTGAGCAGTCTCCCCTACACCAAGAGTTTATATTTCTGCACCTACGGGGCTGGCTTCTCATTGCAGAGACAAAAAAACCTGACATTTACAACTTAAAAGAGGAAAGATTTATTTGCCTCATAGTGTGTAGAGGTTTCAGCCCACAGTCAGCTGCTCCAAAGCAGGTGGTGGGGCAGAGGTGCATCACAGAAGAGGAGCAGCCCATGGCAGGCAGGAGGCAGCAACAGGGAGCCAGTGAGGAGCCTCTTTCTGTCCCTTGTATCTTAGGTGGGCTGCTCACCCTTTGGACAGGCAGTGCTCAAGCCCCTCATCCCAGCAGCACACGCTCTAGGCCCAGCCACCAGTGAGAGCTGGGGGCTCTGGGAGCATCAGACATAAGCTAGTACAGTGGCCTTGGAGCCTGAGTCACAGGAGCTTCCAGCCTGGCTGGCACTGGCTGAGCAAGGTGACTCTAGGAGGGTGGGAGCTGTGGGGCATCAGGAAAGCCCGGGAGGGTACCCTCAGTACTGTTTCCCGGGCACCACAGAAGCTGGGGACATCCTGATGCAGTACACATTGTGGTGGACACGGCACGCATTGTGGCGGCCTCCTGTCCTGTCGGTGGGCAGCTGATGTCTGCACAGGTCCTGGGAGGGAGGGGCTCGGGCCTCACTAGGGCTTGGTGGGTGCCCTGAGGTTGAGCAGTGTGCCTAGTTTAGAGGATTATGGGTACTAGGGGGCTGTGTGCACAAAGGCTGGGGATGCGGCTGTGTTCGCTCCCCAGTACCCCAAACATCTTGCTCTGATGCTTCTCTCCTTGCATTTTACTATTTCATCTCACTTCCTTAGATTTTCTTGCTGTAACTTGATGTTTTGCCAGATATTGTGATTTTATAATGGAAGTATAAATTATTTTCTACGTATCTTCATCAGTTACTTTGTAAGGAAATCTCTATTTGAGGTAAATTTTATGAATCCTCTCCTGAAATAGTGTTAAACTGGCCACACTTGCTAATTCTGGATTATTATTACACACACACACACACACACACACACACACACACACACACATATATATCTTGTACTGGAGATTGAACACAGGGTCTTTACTGAACTACTTCTCCCGATC